CTCCAGCCATTGTGATTTCCAGCCCAGATCTAGCGAAAGAGGCACTGAGAAGCAATGATTCTAGCTTTGGCTTCAGACCATACCTATTGGTGGGGGAGTATCTCACTTGCAACTTTAAGGGGATTGGTTTGTCTAACGGTGATCACTGGAAGAACATGAGGAAGATCTGTGTCACCGAGCTCTTCTCAGTCAAACGCATGGAATCCTTCCGAGGGCTGAGGCTTGCGGAGGTCTCTCACTTGGTCTCACGGCTTGCTCAAGCATCCAAGAGCCAGAGCGTCGTCAATGTGAGAGAACTTGTCACTGATTTCAATGTCACCAGATGCTCATGAGCAAGAGATTCTTTGGGAACAAGAACTTGGGCAGGGAGGAAATAGAAGAGGCTAGACAGCTCAGAGAAGTCCTAGAGGAGCTCGCGCGCTTCGCTTTGAAGTTCCACATAAGTGAGTTCGTCCCGGCTTGGCTGAGATGGATTGATTGGAACATCCCACATGCGAGAAAACTTGTGGCCAAGCAAGAGAAGTTCTTCGAAAAAATAATCCAAGAGCACAAATCTAGCCAGAAGTCCCGCCCTGTGATGGATTTCATGGATATCTTGCTACAACACCAAGAAGACGAGGAGGTCGCCAAAGCCACCTTGATGGTAAGTGAATGATCTCCTGGATTTCACAAAGGTTGTAGTAACAGTGACTGTCTTCCTCATTTTCACAGGAACTCCTTGCAGCAGGAACAGACACCAGTGCTTGTACGACAGAGTGGGCGCTGCTGGAACTTCTCAACAATCCAGAGATAATGAGGAAAGCACAGGAGGAACTCGATACTGTTGTGGGCCGAGATCGCATGGTTACAGAGTCTGATCTCCACAAGCTTCTATACCTTGAAGACATTGTCAAGGAAACTTTCAGGTTTCACCCTCCAGCCCCGTTGCTGATGCCCAGGATGTCAACTCAGGCTTGTGTTCTGGGCGAGTCTTTCGACATTCCCAAAGGTGCCACCACCATTATCAACTTTTATGCCATTGGTAGAGACCCAAGAGTTTGGGATAAGCCTGAAAAGTTCTGGCCGGAGAGGTTTCAAGGATCAACAATCGATGTTAAGGGCCAGGACTTTGAGCTGATTCCATTCGGATGTGGGAGAAGAATTTGTCCATGGATGTTGCTGGGACTCAAGAGTGTGTACCTCACGCTTGCCAACTTGATTCATAGTTTCAACTGGGAGCCTGTCGTTCGTGGAGGAAGCTACAAAATGGATGAAGCTTTTATGTCTGTCATATGGCCAAAGCTACCATTGCAAGCCAAAGTTACTTCTATGTAAACTTTGGTATTCAAAATGTGTTTTATTATATTCCTTTGGAAGCCTCTTAATTTGCTTTTAAATTATAATATTACGTTATTCACAAGGTTGACCTTCAAACAATACAGCAGATACTCGTTTGTCATCTTGTTCAAAAGCATCATTAGACGAACCATGCAATGAAACAATTATTTATAGACCATGATTCATAGACTCCAGACAAACCAGATGGAGTTCCTTCTCTTCTTCTTTGGCTTTCTACTATTGCTCCATCTCTTCAAGAATGTGTTGCTGTCAAGCAAGAGGCTGCCCCCATCTCCATGGGGCTTGCCACTCATTGGTCACCTCCATCTCATTGGAAGGATGCCTCACCATTCATTGCAAAAGCTGTCCAGGAAGTTTGGAAAGATCATGTATCTCAAACTGGGGATGATCCCAGCAATTGTGATTTCCAGTCCAGATCTAGCAAAACAAATGTTCAAGACTGAAGACACAACTTTTAGTTTCAGGCCATACTTGTTGGTTGGAGAGCACAGTGGCTACAATTTCAAGGGAATAGCTTTGGCTAATGGTGATCACTGGAAGAGCACGAGAAAGATCTGCACCACCGAGCTCTTCACAGTGAAACGCATTGACTCTTTCTTGTGGGTTAGAATGGAGGAGCTTTCTTACTTGGTATCATCACTCGCTCAAGCTTGCAATGACCAAAGTATTGTAGATGTGAGAGAGCACCTCACGGTCCTCACATTCAACGTACAAACTCGGATCCTCATGAGCAAGAGGTTTTTCGGTGAGAACTTGAGTGACGACGAGCTAGCAGAAGCCAGAGTATTCAAGGAACTGATTGATGAGTCAGTCAAGTTTGCTTTCCAGTTCCATATAAGTGAGTTTGTACCCTCTTGGCTCAAATGGATTGACTGGAACATACCACAGGCCAAAAGAGTTGCTGCCAAGCAGGACGAATTCCTCCAGAAGATCATCGACGAACACAAAGCCAAAAAATCCCGTCCCACAAAGGATTTCATGGATATTTTGCTTGAGCAGAGAGGAGATGACCAAGAAGTTGTCAAAGCCATCTTGATGGTAAGCCGAGAGAATGATTCTAACATGATAATTCATACTCTGGAATGCTTTGTCACAGGAAATCTTGGCAGCCGGAACAGACACAAGTGCATGCACAGTAGAGTGGGCTTTGCTGGAACTTCTCAACAATCCAGAGATCATGAAGAAAGCACAAGAAGAACTTGATGTTGTCGTGGGCGGAGGTCGCACTGTTTTAGAGTCTGATTTCCCAAAGCTGACATATCTTGAGGCCATCATCAAGGAAACTTTCAGGATTCACCCTCCAACGCCATTGCTGGTGCCGAGGATGTCAACGCAAGCTTGTGCCTTGGGTCAATCATTCCACATTCCTAAAGGTGCCACCACCATTGTCAACTATTACTCGATTGGCCGAGATCCAGAGGTTTGGGAGAATCCAGCTAAGTTTTGGCCCGAAAGATTTCTGGGGTTGGCAATTGATGTGAAAGGCCACGACTTTGAGCTGATTCCATTTGGAGCTGGGAGAAGAATATGCCCAGGCATGTCACTCGGGCTTAAAACTGTTTATCTCACTCTTGGAAACTTGCTCCACGGTTTTGACTGGCATCGTCTTCCTGGGAAAAACTATGGTGTTGATGAGACTTTTGGAGCAGTAACCTGGCCAAAGTCATCATTGCAAGTTCGTGTAACTCGAAGGCTAGAAAATACAAATACTTAGTAACGCAAAATAAATATGATATATTTCTCGAACGAAGAGAGCTCCACATGGTCTGACTATGGAACTTATAAAAAGTCTTACATCTTCAAACTAGAGAATTGTTCCACTAGAGGATCAAATGGGAGAATCTCATTTAGTGTCCCTACAGATGTTGACAAAGTTACAGAAAAATGAAATTCTTAAAAATCTGACGTCAAATAGTTGTGATTTTAGTCCTTGTTTTGTTCCAAAAGAGGATCAAATGAAGGAATCTGTCCCTATATATGTACTTAACAAATTGCCACTTCAAGGTAGAGTAATGGAGTTTCTTCTCTACTTTCTGGCTCTCTTGCTCTTTGTTAGAATTCTTATGTTGCAACGCAAGAGGCTGCCGCCATCTCCATGGGGTTTGCCATTGATTGGTCATCTCCATCTCTTAGATCGAATGATTCACCAATCTCTTCAGAAGTTATCCAACAAGTTTGGGGATGTTATGTTCTTGAGACTTGGCATGGTTCCAGCCGTTATTATTTCCAGTCCAGCTATGGCGAAAGAAGTACTCAAGACTCATGATCTGATCTTTAGTTCCAGACCATTTGTATTAGTTGGGCAGTATGTGAGCTATAACTTCAAGGGGCTGGCATTAGCTAGTGGCGATCATTGGAAAAACGTGAGGAAGATCTGCACTACAGAGCTTTTCACTGTAAAGCGTATAGACTCCTTCTTATGGGTAAGGGTTGAGGAGCTCTGTTATTTGATCTCATCTCTCGCGAAAGCTCCTAAAGGTGTTGATATGAGAGAGCATCTTACAGTGCTTACATTCAATATCACGAGCAGAATCCTCATGAGTAAGAGATTCTTTGGAGAGAACTTGGTTGGGGAGGATCTAACAGATGCCAAAACATTCAAAGAAGTGATGCACGAAGTGGCTGAAATTGGTCTCCAGTTTCATATAGGCCAGTTTGTTCCGGATTGGCTTCGATGGATCGACTGGAGCATACCACGGGTGAAAAGGATCTTTGCCAAGGAAGACAAGTTCTTTGAAAAGGTCATTACCGAGCACAAGAAAAGTGGAGGATCACGTCCACAACCTGATTTTACAGACATTTTGCTTCAGCATTACAAGGACGAGGAGGTTGTCAAAGGCACTCTAATGGTACGAAATCCTTATATTTCTAAATTTGAAATCATTGATCAGTCTTTTGCGCAGGAAATTCTAATAGCTGGAATGGACACAAGTGCTTGCACAGTAGAGTGGGCCTTACTGGAACTTGTCCACAATCCAGAGGTGATGAAAAAGGCACAAGAAGAACTTGATGTAGTGGTGGGTCGAAATCGCATGGTTACCGAAACCGATTTCTCAAAGCTGACATATCTTGAAGCTGTGATCAAGGAAACTCTCAGGCTTCACCCTCCCGTTCCAATTCTAGTGCCTCACATGTCAAACAAAGCATGCGTTTTGGCTGGTTTTGATGTTCCCAAAGGAGCCACCACCATTATTAATTTCTACTCCATTAGCAGGGACCCAAATGTATGGGAACATCCCACAAAGTTTTGGCCAGAGAGGTTTGGGCAGATAACAGCTGATGTTAAAGGGCAGGACTTTGAGCTGATTCCCTTTGGAGCTGGAAGAAGAATGTGTCCAGGAATGTCACTTGGCCTCAAGACTGTCCACCTTGTTCTCTCAAACTTGCTCCACAGTTTTCATTGGGAGCGTGTTCCTGGAGAAAGCTACAATTTGGATGAAGGTGTTGGATCAGTGACTTGGCCAAAGTCGCCATTGCAGGCACAGCTCACTCCAAGGCTGCGGAACCTGGATGTAATTTTCAACTTCGCTCAATGAAACATTTTATAAATATCACATTAAATACTACTTTCTAAGATTAATATAATATTATGAAAACAAAAAAAGATAGACCATTATAATCCTATTTGGTTTGGGGTCCACTTTTTACCCTTGTAAGTTTTTAGGGTTCTTACTTGTGGCGGCAAAAGAGAGAATGGGGAGGCCGCGGCGCGAGGTGAGAACAGCGATTGTGGAGCGGGAGAGTAGCAGCAGCGATGAGAGCTCCGACGAGGATGTAGACGATCTTGCGGCGGAGGAGGAGGAGGAGAAAGATGAAGAAGAAGAGATTGGGGAAGAGGAGGAGGAGGAAACCAAGGAGCATTCGGCTGTGGAGGGAAAGAAGGGTAGAAAGAAGATTACAATCAGTTTGAAAGCAGCAAAGCTTTGCAAGGTATGCTTCTGTTGCTCTTTCTTTGATATTTTCTTCTTCTCTCTTCTATTTATATCAGGTTTGCAAAGGGAAAGATCATCAAGCTGGCTTTGTTGGGTCAGTTTACTTGGATTGTCCAAACAGGCCGTGCTATCTCTGCAAACGACCTGGTAAGTTCCAATTCTTTTTTTTTTCTTCTTTCTCGGAGAGCTTAAACACTTTTTTTTTTCTCCTAGGCCATACTACCGCAACTTGTCCCCATCGTTTGGCCAGTGAGCACGGTGTCACCCCCGGAATTCGCAAGACTTCTGTAGGAGTGGCGGATTTTATCTATGAGCGTCAGCTGGGAAGGCACAGATCCATGGTAAGTTTTGTTGATACGTTTCTTTCTTCTTTCCTTGTTTCGACGATACAAAACTTTCTTTTCAGGTAAGGCCCAGGCTTCCAATTCCCAATAAAGTCGAATGCGGCATCCTCAAGCTACATAGTCGTCGAGTAACCTGTCTCGAGTTTCATCCAACCAACGATAAGCTTGTCATATCCGGAGACAAGGTTTGCCTTCCTTTCTTCCTTTCTTCCTTTCTTGCATCTTCTTGCTCTATCTTGTGCTGTAGAAAGGCCAAGTTGGGATTTGGGACTACCGCAAAGTCTACGACAAAACGGTCTACGAAACAGTACACAGCTGCATTGTCAACAGCATGAAGTATTTGCTCGCACTCGTCCACACTTGATCGCGTTGCTAACGCTTTAGAAAACTTTTTTCGCAAGGTTTATTCCAAACTCGGATGAAACCATCTGTTCTTCGGGCTCTGATGGGCACCTGTGCCTCACAGACTTGGAAACCGGTTTGACACAAAGCTTGATAAACCTCAATCCGGGGGGATGGCAAGTAAGTCTTTCTCTCGCACAACTAGTTTTATGATTCTGTTATTTCCAGGGACCTTCAACCTTCAAAATGATTTATGGAATGGATTTAAATCTCACCAGAAACTTGGCTTTGGCAGCCGACAATTTTGGATACTTGTACAGGTGAGAAGGATTGTCTATGTGGGTTTTGAATGTGAACGAACGCTTTCTTTTTTTCCAGACTAGACTTAAGAACTAAGAAGACTCATGACAAGCCTCTGTTGATCCATAAGAAAGGCACAAAAGTCGTGGGACTCCACACTAATCCAATCGACCAAGACATATTTATCACATCTGGCAACGATCACATGGTATGTTTCCGAGCTTTTTTTCATGCATTTTTTCCATTTTCTAACTCAAAGCAAAATATATTTCTAGGCTCGAATTTGGGACTTGAGAATGCTTGACAGTCGCAATCATCTCGCGGAGCTCTCTCATCCAAGAGTCGTGAGCTCCGCCTACTTCTCGCCTAGAACAGGAAACAAGATCATGACCACTTGCCAAGACAACAGGATTCGCATTTGGGACTGTATTTTCTCCAACTTGGGAACTCCAAGCAGGGAGATTGTTCACAGCCACGACTTCAACAGATATCTCACTTGTTTCCGAGCAGAATGGGATCCAAAGGTACGCACTCTTTCGTTCGTCTTTTCCAAATCTAGAGCTTGCTTTATGATTTTCATCCAGGATCCCACGGAATGCCTGGCTGTGATCGGTCGATACATCAGCGACGACTTCAATGGCGTTGCGTTGCATCCGATCGATTTCATCGACGTGAGCACTGGACAGATAGTTTCCAAGGCCATTGATCGGAGCATCACGACGATAAGTCCCGTAAACAAGCTCCATCCTCGCCTTGATATCCTGGCCTCTGGAAGCTCACGGTAACATCCTTCTTTTTTTCTTGTAACTTTTCTTCTATCATGTTTCTTGCTGGGTTTCTAAGGTCGATCTTCATCTGGTCGCCCGAGGACGACGACGACGAGCAGCCCGAGGTTAAGATAGCGGTTCCGCCGAGGATCTACACATTTCTGGGGAATGGGAGCTTGAAGAGAAAAGGCGATGGCGATAATGGAGATTGTGATGATGAAGACGAGCTAGACGAGTGTGCCGGAGCCAAAAAAAAGAACGAAAGGAAGCAAAAATCCAAGAAGAAAATGTGATAGAGTGAGGTGGTGGAAAGGTTTGTAAAAGTTATACATATCATTAGCCTGAATCATGTAATAATCCAAAAGATTAGTCAGCTTGACCCTGGATTATAATTAAAGATGATATTGCTTGCAAGAACTTTTCCAAACTCCAGGAACTTGGAAGAAGAAAATTGGAAAGAGATATCATTAGTCTCTCATGAAATAATCCGAGAAATAGAAAGATTATAGTCAGCTTGCACGTGACATGCTACAGCTTTTACTGACCTTTCATTGTCATGGATACTTTTTAATCAAGAAAAGAAGCATCGATCACAAAGATGATATCACAAACTTATTTTGAAAGAGTTTTTCCAAATTCCAGGAACTTGGAAGAACTGCTAGAACATTGTCTCTAAATCATGAAATAATCCGAAAGATTAGTCAGCATGCATGTGAAATGTTACAGCTTTTACGGACCTTTCATTGTCATAGATTATTATTTTTAATCAAGTAAAGAAGCCTTAAGATAGCAAAGATGATATCACAAATTTAGCTTGCGAAGAACTTTTCCAAACTTGGAAGAGAAGTATGTGGATCTCTAGATCAATTGGCGACAATGTGGAGGGCTGGAAGACATCCGCTGCTCAAAGCGCGCAGGCCTCGAACAACACGAGCACCAGGTCAGTGCAAAGCTCCGGAGATCTCTTCTCCACAAACACAGTCTACCCAGGCCAGATCTCCAACCATGCCAAGGCCGATCTCGAAGTTTACAATCACCTCCTCTCCCTCGACCGCCAGCGCTCGCGTTCGCTCCTCCGCAAGATCATCTACTGCCAGTCCGGTCTCTCCAACGATCTCACCCGGAGCTTCATCCAGGGCTTCCATGGCGCCGGCGCCGGCGGTAGCAGTGGCAGCAGTGGTGCGACAAATTTCCAGCTCCAATCCAGCCGCACGGCCATGACGCGCCCTCTTATCAATCCAAGGTCGATCATCAACCATGAGTTCCTGATAATTGTGATGAAAATCGGGGGCGAGGAGCGCTTCTTCCTGGCCGAGAAGTGTGGAGCCGGCGAGGATTGCGGTATCAACATCAAGCTCCTGCCCGGGCTAGACGATTTCCGCAGCGCGCAGGTCTCAAGCTTCGACTGCGAGGACACTCCCATGGGATTGGAGCGACTGATGAGGATTCTTGAGGATCACGACCCGGATTACACTGTGCACGAGAAGAATTGCTGGGAGTACGCGGTCCAGTCCACCAAGAAGCTACTGTTCGCTTGCGAGGAGATTACCGGGAAGACCCATTTTGGCGATCAGGCCAAGCTCGTGGGAGGAAAGGTCACGATGCATCACATCAAGGACATGGCCATTCGCGGATTTCGTGCTCTTGGGGATATGCTGACTAGCCGTGGACTGGGACATTGACTAATATTTGACTACTCTAAATAAATGTTGGATGGGAGATGTGATGAGGATTACTGGGTTGGGTATCTTGACAAGGCAAGAGCTTTGCTGCACAATTGTGCTTGATTTAGCTAAATAAATGTTTGATTGTCCCTAACATACCCTCTTCAAATACAGTGTTTACAGGATATGCTAGGCATTTGGAGAGCAGAATTGGTGTTTGATTCGATGCCGGAGCTAAAATTTGGTTTCCTGGGCTGCAATGGTAAAGGGGTTTTCAGATGCTGGAGATTTTGAGCGTGTAAAGAGATTAATTTGAATATCCCTGAGAGAACTTGGAATGTGATAAATAATATTCAACGATTGAGTTATTAAAGAGAACTAAAATCTTAGAGTATGAAAACCTCAAACATATATTACAAACATTACTATTTGCAATTTAAAAAATTACCATACTAATTATTTTCCATTACCTAGGATCATATGCTAAACATTCATTATCATTCAGTAACTAACAATTAGCAAAGCAGTTCGTATTTGAGTTGAATTTATTGAAGCTGAATTGTATAATGTACAAATAATTTTGTTATTCGTTGTATCACAGCTAACCTCAATAGTATTGAATAATAATATGCAAATAGTTATGAAACTATTATTATATAATTATAAACCCAAAACCTAAGTTTAATTTTAGGCTCAATGTTTTAACCATCATTGCTAAATCATTGTAAATTCAAAATCGATCTTGAAGTAGTATTTACAAATATTCTTCCCAAGGAGTCACGGCTACTTGCTATTGGAGGAATTGCCAGTTATTATTGCAAATCTATTTATTTCAAATGAGAAGCTTTGGAGCTTTGAAAGATGTCTCAAGGACACTGCGATTTGAGGATTTCTTGCTCTCCGTGGACTCAAACGTTGACTAAACTTTGACTAGACCAGGAGCGAAGAGAATATCTTCTTTGAGTGATTTTGATGATATGCATTGGATGCCAAGGCTTTTCAAGCTATAGAAATGCAAATCAAGGATTCAGAGATGTTGTTACTTGGACAAGGATGCTCCAAGCTTACTCGCTGAAGGGGTGGATTCACAAAGCTAGGCTTCTTTTCAATCGAATGCCTGAGAAGAACATTGTGACTTGGACCGTGATGGTATCTGCTTATGCCCAGGCTGGGCATCTTGATAACGCAAAATATTTGCTAAATCAAATGCCTGAGTGGAGTACGATTGTCCTTACAATTATGATTGTCGCTTTTTTTAAAGATGGCTATGTTGATTTGGCTAAAGAAATGTTCGACGAAGTTCCTGTTGCTGATATACCCTCTTCAAATGCAATGCTTACAGGGTATGCCCAGACTAGGCATTTGGAGAGAGCAGAATTGCTGTTTGATTCGATGCCGGAGCGTAATGTGGTCTCCTGGACTGCATTGCTAAAAGGATTTTCAGATGCTGGAGATCTTGAGCGCGTGGAGAAACTGTTTGTGGATACCCCCGAGAGAAACATCGTAACTTGGAATGTGATTGTAAACGCATTTGCCGCATTCGGGCATTTAGAACGAGCCAATGTGTTACTAAGGAGAATGCCCGAGCACAATGTTGTCACTTGGAACGAAATGATCACGGCCTTTGCAAACTCTGGAAACATAGCTTCAGCCAAGAAAATGTTTGAAAAGATGCCCGAAAGAACTCTAGCGTCGTGGAATCTCTTAGTTTCGGCATACGTCCTGGAAGGGCATTTCCACGAAGCAAAACTTATATTCGATCGAATGCCACAACACAACGTTGTTGCGATCACCGCAATGATCCAAGCGCTTTCGTCGCACGGTCGCATTGACGAGGCCAAGCTCCTGTTTGATCAATCGGTAGAGAAGAACATAGTCACCTACAATGCCATGATCGAGGGATTTGCCCAGAATGGTCAGCTCTCCAAAGCCAAGACCCTTTTCAATTCCATGCCGAGAAGAGACTCCACCACCTGGAACATCCTTATCTCCGCGCACGCTCAAACTGGATCACTGGAGGATGCAAAGTTCCTGTATGATTCGATGCCGGAGCCCAATCTAGTCTCCACGAACACGATGATCTCTGCCTATGCCCAGATCGGGCAAACCCACGAAGCGCGACGCCTGTTTGATTCGATGCCAGCGCTGAGCTCCGTGTCGTGGAACTCGATGATCACTGCTTTCATGCTGAATGGAGAGCCCCACCAAGGGAGATTGATCTTCGAGGAGATGCCAGAGCCCAACATCGTGTCCTGGAACGCTCTTCTTCACGGATTCGCCCTCAATGGCCACCACAAGGCCGCGAAAGGAGTGTTTGATGCCATGCCCTTTCGTGATGCCGTCGCGATCACCACAATGATCGTCTCCCTGTGCCAGAGTAGCGATCTTAGAACCGCAACAGCGCTGTTCGAGAGAATGCCCCACCGAGATCTCATCCCCTGGACGGCGATGGTGGCGGCATTCGCCTACTCTGGCTTGGCCGATCGCGCAGCGCAGTTATTTCGAGCCCTGGAGATGGATGGGATCGAGCCTAACCAGATCTCCTTCACCAGCATTCTCATCGCTTGCAGCCACGCCGGGAAGCTCGATCTAGCGCGCCAGCTCCTGCGCCTGATGATCCAAGACCACGAAATCCTTCCACTGCGCGAGCATTTCTCCCTGATCGTCGACGGGCTAGGCCGGATCGGGCAGCTCCGCCTGGCCGAGGAGATGATCCACGCGATGCCATTCGTGCCGGATCCTGTCGCCTATGGCGCGCTGCTCGGCGCATCCAAGATCCATCGCGAGGACCAAGCACAAGCGCGAGGCGTCGCGCAAACCCTAGCAAAGCTCGATCCAGCGAGCGTGACGCCGTATGTAACGCTCTCCTCCATTGGATAGCCGCCACGTGGCTGTATCTTCCAAAAGGTTAACGTGGCAGTTAGTACCGACTACACCTGGCAGGCTTACTAAGAATAGGAGCTCGGTTTTCCACTGGGACTTTGTCAAGGACACGTCCTTGCTCAAGAGTGGGGACGGCGGTGGCGTGTGAGTGGAGCGCTCTTTGCCGTTTAAAGAGAAGCGATCAATGTTTGTTTTCTTGTTCTAGAGAGGAAGAATTCCCGGATAAGATCGATCGCATTGGAATTCGAGCGCTTTGAATGCTGGCCGCGATCATCCGGCCCCAAATCTCCAGGTCGGTTCTTCAATCTTGATCAGCTAGCCCTAGCGCCATCACCGCACTGCCGCTGCTGGAGCAGCGCATTGGCAGTCATCGATCGATCGATCCATGGCAATGGAGGGGGAATCGCAGCGAAATCTCTCGGATTCCCGGCGAAATATTTCCAAGAAGGATCAGGAGCGCAGCGCGAGCAGGCTGGAGAGGCTAGCGTCTCACATGGCGGCTGTGCCGCTGGTCAGGGAAGCGCAGCTCGCGCGGCAGGAGTGTGCCAAGGTGAAGATCAAGCACCAGGTCCACGTCTCGACGCTGGTGGAATTCTTGACTCAGGGCCATCAATCCGAGCAGGAGAAGGTCTATCGATTCTTTCTCGAGCGGCCTCACTTGCAAACCCCGGTGGAAATTCACAAGGACAAGCACAGGGAGCTGTGTATGAGGCAGCTCACTGCGGTGGTCCGTGAGGCTGGGATTCGTCCGATGGAGCTTCTTCTCAACGATCCCGCGAGCTACTTCGTTTTCACTGAGGCGATTGGGCACATCGATCTCTCGCTTGCGATCAAGCTGGGTGTGCAATTCAGGTAAGAAAGGTTTCTTCTTTACTATTCTATCTTGACAATGTGTCACTTTAGTCTCTGGGGTGGTAGCGTCATCAATCTTGGAACAAAAAAACACCGTGACAAATACTTGGCTGGTATATCAAATCTCGATTATCCAGGATGCTTTGCAATGACGGAGTTGCATCATGGTATGTGATCTTGGCTTTTGTTCTTCTCTGCAACGTTGCTGAAAAATTGGTTCTTTATCCAGGTTCCAACGTTCAAGCATTGCAAACCACTGCGACTTTCGACAGGCTCACGGACGAGTTCGTGATCAACACTCCCGACGAAGGTGCGACTAAATGGTGGATTGGAAACGCTGCGGTCCATGGCAAGTTCGCTACCGTTTTTGCTCGGCTCAAGCTTCCTTCGCCGGACTCGCATCTGGACAAAGACATGGGCGTGCACGCCTTCATTGTTCCCATCAGAAGTATGGAAGATCACTCCGTTCTTCCTGGTGTGGAAATCCGCGACTGTGGCTACAAAGTTGGTCTCAACGGTGTCGACAATGGTGCATTACGATTCAGCAACGTCAGGATTCCCCGAGACAATCTCTTGAACCGGTTTGGCGACGTTTCAAGGGATGGAGAGTATAACAGTTCGCTGCCAACCGTGAACAAGAGGTTTGCAGCTACACTTGGGGAATTGGTTGGAGGAAGAGTTGGGCTAGCTTATGGATCAGTCGGTGTTCTAAAAGCATCCGTCACCATTGCCATCCGGTATGCGCTTCTCAGGCAACAATTTGGCCCTCCAAACAAGCCAGAGATCAGCATACTCGACTACCAGTCTCACCAGCAAAGATTGATGCCACTGCTAGCTTCGACTTATGGTTTTCACTTCGCTACCCAGTACCTGGTGAACAGATATGCCGAGATGAAAGTTACGCATGACGACGAGGTGGTCGCAGATGTTCACGCTCTCTCTGCGGGTCTCAAGTCGTACATTACTTCCTACACGGCGAAGGCATTGAGTACTTGCCGAGAAGCTTGTGGTGGACATGGTTATGCAGCAGTGAATCGATTCGGCAGCCTCCGAAACGATCACGACATTTTCCAGACGTTTGAAGGGGACAACACGGTTTTGCTACAGCAGGTAAGGTTGACAACTATTTCGCTTGTGGTTGCTCATTTCCTTAAAACTTTCTCATTTCAGGTAGCTGCAGACCTTTTGAAGCAGTACAAGGAGAAGTTTCAAGGAGGTGCCTTGAGTGTGACATGGAACTATTTAAGAGAATCAATGGGGACTTACTTGAACCAGACAAATCCTGTCGTGACGCATCGAGAAGGCCACGGCCATCTCCGAGATCCCAACTTCCAGCTTGACGCTTTTCAGGTTCGGTATCAACAGCTTTCAGTCAGTTTCAGTTGGTCAACTGATATTATTTCGGTTTGTTTCGCAGTACCGGACGGCAAGGCTGCTCCACACTGCTGCGTTGCGCTTGCGCAAGCACTCCCAACGCTTAGGAAGCTTTGGTGCATGGAATCGCTGCTTGAACCACCTCCTCACTCTGGCCGAGTCACATATTGAATCCGTCATTCTTGCAAAGTTCATTGAAGCTGTCAACCGGTAAGTTGTTCTCCCGTTTCGTCTCCAGGTATGAAAGTTTTCGTGTGTTGCAGTTGCCCGGACAAAGATGTCCGCTCGCTGCTCAAGCTAGTGTGCGACTTGTATGCTCTGGATCGAATCTGGGAAGACATTGGAACGTATAGAAACCAGGACTACGTTGCACCAAACAAAGCCAAGGTGAGTAAGAAACTCTTCGACACAATTCAAGCTTAACACGTTTTCTTTGTCGCAGGCTATCCATCGTTTGGTGGAGTATTTATCTTACGAAGTCCGCGGCGTTGCCAAGGAACTGGTCGACGGTTTTGGAGTGCCCGATTTCGTGCTGAGAGCACCGATCGGCCTGCAAAACGGGCAGTACTCGGAGTACATGCAGTACGTTGGCTTTTGAGTAAAACAATTTGAAGAGAGGGAGCCGGCTAGAAGAGAGGCTATGCACTGTATTCATCCTAGAGATCTCTTTACAGCAAAACTTTCCGGGAGCTACGACGAGGTGGTAAATCGCTTGAGGTACTCTGGATCCTTCTTTGCCTTGTCTTGAAACTTCTTGAACCATTTCTCCAGGATGTCGAGCGGGACAACCATCCTCCCATTCTCCTGGCTGCAAAACGACTGCATGAAGTTGAAGAGATTCTCGCCAACCTTGAGCGCCAGATCCTCCACCTTCTTGTAGTTGCCAACGTTGAGAGCCGGGAGCGAGACGAGGTCCTCCACCGCGAGGCCGATCTTGGCAGTGAGTGGCTGCGTCTCGGAGGCCATGATTTGCATCTGGCCGCCGGGCTTTGGCCACAGCAGCGTCACCACTGCCGAGGGACAAGCCTTGTGGACGGCTCCACAGTACTGGAACTGCGATCCCGGGGACTGGACGTAAACCGCGAGAGCTTTCTCCGGAGGGAGCGAGAGCTCGTTGAGAAGGAAGATACACATTTCTTTCACTTCCTCGTAGCCTTCTCCTGTGTAACCAAGAGGAAAAAACTTTAGAGAGAGCTCTCTTCTTCGAAAACTAAAGACCAAGCAAGAAATGATAGCCTCTCGGGAAGAACAGAGAAGAAAGAATGAGCTCTCTTCTCTCGTTCTTCGCAATTTCAAGCAAAGAAGCAAAGGATTTCTTCGCAAACTCAGACTTACCCAGGAAAACGCTCATGTCGAGCACCCAGTGCGCAATGTCGATCTGCTGGAAGCTCGCGGCGTCCATCGGGAAGCTGCGATTCGGGAAAACCACCCCAAACATCTTGCGCCAAGCCAGACACTCAAATGCGCGCCAAATCGCCAGTAATCCCTGCTACCATACCCGTCGCAATTTCATCACAGGCGCGCGCCACGCCCTCCCTGCGAGCTGGAAGAATCGCGAGCTCGCGACACGCAAACCCTAGTGACAAAGAAAGTACAAAACTCGAATCGGACGGTTCCAGAGGGTTCTAGAAAAGAATTTGGAATTTACACGAAATCGGGCGGCTGGCATGCATCGTTCCGGGGTTCTCCTAGCTCTTAGCGATACATCTGCGAAGCCTGGATCCAAACAGCGCTCCGGCGCAGCGTTGCACGTATCCAGCAAGATCTCTAGTCGGTCTTCGCGGCGGATAGAATGCGCTCTTCCTGTAAGGCGGATCATCTGCTCTGGATTGCCGCTGGAGAAACTGGTGGAAAGTACTCCCGTTCCGGAGCGAATCGTTCTTCGACTGGATCACCGCGGTCATGTCCAGATTTCCCGAGTTCGCTCCAGCGAACCAGGGCGTCACCTCCTTCTTGGATCCGGCCACAAAGACGTTGAACTCGCTCAAGATGGTGGCGGTCACTCGAGCTCCCAGCGCGTAGTATCCCCAGTTGGAGTAGAGATTGTTGACGACGTGACAGTAGCCGAATCGGCAGTGCGGCATCCTCTGCGTGGAATCGCGGAACCAGTTGCGAAAGACGGTCACTCGCATCACGCTGTCCTGGCGATCGCTGTCCGAGGCGCCGAGGAGCATGTTGAAATCGCGGTTGGAGAGGTAGCAGTTCGAGATGGTCACGTCGGTGGATCCCTGGACGACCGAGACGAGGCCCTCCGATCCGGAGAAGCTCGTAAGGTGGTCGATCCAGATGCGCTTGGATCCCGCGAAGACGTGCACGGTGTCGGTCTCTGGAACGCTGTTGATCTGGAAGTTGTGGAGGATGACGTTGGTGACGCCGGCGAGGACGATGGAGCGGCCGGTGATGGTGATGTTGCTGCCGCGGCCATCGATGGTGGTGTCGCTCCGGATCCACAGCATCTCGCGGAGCTGGATGATCATGGTCTTGGAGAAAGTTATCCACACTCCACCGGACTTGGGATTCAAGCTCACTCCGTAGCGCAGGCTTCCCTTTTGTGGATCCGTGGGATTGTCGTCGGGCCGGGTGACGACGTAGGACCTTCCATTGGCACCGCCTGTGAGACCGCCAGCGAAGCCGTAAGCGCAGGATGGGAGCGCGCGGCCGGAGCCGCATTGGAACTGGCAAGTGGTTCCATCGCTGTTACACCTGGCTGCTCGAAAGGAAACAATGGAACTTAGTTCGAAGATTTGTGAAAAGTTCTGTGGATGGATGCTTACTTGGTGATGCTGCTGCCTGGAGGAGCGCTCGGCTCGGACGTCTGTTCTCTTCCTCCAAAGTTCTACCTCGGGTTGCCTGGTGAGACAAAGAAGAAAAGATGAAGAAATCGTTGTATAACTGTGGAAGAAGAACGTATGATCTTATACCTGAGCGCATGAAGCTCCATCGCTCGTGCATTTTCCTGCAAGCAAAGATCGTTTGAGATGCTTAAACTTCTGTCAATGCTTACTAGACGAGTGGAGCTGGAGAGATCCGCTCGGTTCCTCCAAGGTTCTTACCTGGAAGAACATCAAAAAGCTTTTACCGCGATGGAAGATCATCTCATCTTACCTTGGAGCAAACTCCCGTGTTTGCATGGATCAACGCCACGAGAAGCAGCAACAGTAGCCCCATCTAAAGAGAGCTCCAAGTTCCTTTCTTCTACTCCAAAACCATTCCCAGGCGATGGAACTGGTGGAAGAAGAGCTACAAGTAGTGGAAGACGAAGAAGAAGAAGAGTATTCTTCTTCACAACTTCCGGGAAAAGAATTCGCTCGAAGTGCATCAATCCACGCCAGTGCCAGGCCGCGCAAGCCGATTCCAAGCAATGGAAAAATCGCCACAAAGTGGAGGTGATATTCCCGCGAGGCCTTCTTTGCGTGCACGCCCGCCATGGCCACCGATCCAACGGACTTGCCCCCGGATCGCCAATTTTTTAATCGCGAACGCGAGCGATCGTGAGCGCCAGAATGTGCGTCGTTTGACAATGCTGCTCCATCCAGACCTTCTCGCTCGCGAAAGCTTCCTCGCTCCATTGACTTGTCGCTGCGCCAAGCTTCCAGCGCAATCTTCGTGATCGCCAAAGGAGAAGGAAGGAATTCTAAACAAATGCCTCAAAGCTAACGTTAGAACCCTAGCAAATATTTTAGGGTTCTTGGGAGTTTGGAGAGATCGCCTCGTCTAGCGGCAAGTAAGCGAGATTCTTGTGCTGGGATAGGTAGAATGCGAGGCACAGGCCGCAGATATACTCCGAGCTTCCTCGAATCGGAGATGTTTTGGATCATTTCTCCAGCTTGGGAGCTTCTGCCACAACAAGATCGACGAAATTCTGCCCAGGATCGCCGAAATCTTGCTTGCTGGGGACGAGGTCGATCGCAGGACGGTCGAAATCTTGCTCGCCCGGGACGAGGTCGATCGCAGGACGATCGCAATCTTGCTCGCCCGGGACGACGCCGGCAGCATTGATCTCCATCGCTGCGGTCTCTGCATGGCCACTGGGAACGGGGCCGCAACGATAATCCAGCCAGAGAATGGCGATCCCAGAGGCGAAATACGTCGCCTGTGCCAATCCCAGGCGAGCGAAGAACATCGCGTTGGCAATCTGTGGCCGGGGCCGCCGGAAAAGAAGGATCCAGGACGCTACTTCCGGCGCCAGTTTGACGATTCCCATGAACAGGAGCTTGATCCGGTAGCGTCGAGTGCCAAGCTCCTTGTGTTCGTGGGCATCGCTGGCCAGGACGTAGAGTGGCGAAGCACAGAAGCTCATGAAGGCCGCGATCACTGCCCCGGTGGATTGTTTGAGGTTTATCTTGGGTCCCCGTGTGAGAACTAGCCAGAAGAGGAGCCACAGGAGGATGCCGCTGGTGGAGAGAAGGACGATCACGAAGGGAAAGTATGAGACTCCCGTGATCACAAAGACCGAGCAAGAGATGGCATTCAGTAGGATGGCTGATCCAATATGAAGGCCTGCAAGGAAGAAAACAGTGAATCCGGCTTGAAACAAAGAGAAGAAAAAGCTTGTCTCTCTTCGACCTGCGAGGATGGCTACGCCAGCTTTCTTCTTCCACGAGTTTGCGTTGGTTGTTTTGGACGCCACCGCAATGCTTCCATTCAGAGTTCCGGAGACCAGTGTGGCTATGACCCCGAGGATGAGAACTGGTGAGATGAAGGAGTTACCGGGTGAAGAGAGCCTTTTTTTGTAGATGGCATCATACTCGATCGCGAGTGCCTGGCTGGACTTGACGGTCAGCATAACGATGCTGAAGAGCGTGCTCTTGGTGCTCATCTCTCGCCTGGCAACCAGGAAGGATCTTCATCAGGGTAGTGAAGGTACGTATCTTCTATTTTTTTCTTCTAGATGAATCTATTGTTGAATTGAAGAAGAAAGAACTCTTACCGGTCGATGGACGCTTTTGGATGTCGAGCCAAGTTCCATAGCTGTATGAGCGGGAAGAAGAGCGCAGATTGGATTGGCTGCTGCTCGACAGGTATTTTCAACTTGAAAACCACGACACTGACTATCTGAGATCCGATCAAAACGACGAGCAGGTTGTAGAAATTCCGCCTCAGCAACTGATCAGGAAACTTGTAGTATTGAACAAGAGTGATGACAGTGAGGATACCATCAGCCAAGTAAGAGCCAGCAGAGAAGATCACTCGCACGGGCTCGCTCGCAGCAACGAGCGCTTTGGCAGAAGGCATTCCCGAGACAGCCATCAAAGTCTTGGTGTAAGTCTTTTATGCTCCTTCGTAAAATATTTCTATAATGTGGGCACTCGTCAAAGGTGTGCGCCGGATTGGCATCATATGGTGGTCGTCACATCAGAGTACTTACAAAGGCGCGTAAAGTCGTCTCACATCGCGGTACTGTCGCTTTTACTTTTATTTCATTGCTTTTCGTGATGTTGGAATTTGACTCCGTGCGGTCCTTAAATTTGATTCGTGTGCATTCTAACATTCAGAAGTCAAGACTTCCCTACCACTAAAACCACGAAGGTACTATCAAGCGTTTGGATGTTCTCTCAGTGCTGAGTTTTCATATTGCAGCTATGGATGCAGGTAGCAGTAAGGATGTGAAGCTTGGCTCTGGGATCGGTGGCAAGCAGCTGTCTGCTCCAACTGGAAACAAGGCTCATGTAGCAACTTTGGTACAAAATGTTGCTTTCTTGTGAGCTATTGCTCCAAGGAATGTCAGAAGGAGGACTGCAAGAAGGCCTGTAAGTCGGAGCTGATGGATGAGCAGTACGTGCCTTCGTGGGTTACGTCCGTCTTCGTGGTTCACGGGCTCTTTGCAAAGGTTTGGAGAAGCACCCTGGGGAAATGTGCCTGCACACGGCCTGCTAAGCAGAGATGGCTTTCAGCCTCCGGAAGAGCCGAGCTTTTGTTTTGCAGCACCAGCAGATCTACTTAACGCCATAGAAACGGTGTGCCGACTCCCAGATTCTTTCAGAGGCCGGGCAACTTTCTACGTCAACGACTGGAATCCTCAAGTCGCAGTGAAGAACTTCCTCATGATCGAGCTGCTCAGGACCTTCGGAAGGGACGCTGTTGATGCTGTGATAGCTCTTTGGTACTCCTCCTGCCTCACGCCTTAGCAGACCGCCGCGATCGACGATCTGGCACGCTCGGTTCTATAGAAGAAGAGCTCAGATGTGATCCCAAGCGCTCCAAGCTTTCTCTGGTTGCAAGCTTTGGAAACAAAGTCTGGGACTACGTGTGCTCCAGTTCCTGGACTAAAGAAACTGCACTGGAGACGAGGCGGAGGGTGATGGTTGGCCGTCCCGACTTGTTGGAACGCAAGCTCGTTCTTCTCCAGCCTCAGCACAGGCTCTCTTGGAACGACTACCGCCACTCGGGAATGCTCCTACGCGGCAACGCTAGAACACCACGAGCTAACAAGTAACTCCTCCATCCCGAGCTCGGCTGGACCATGAGCGATTCAGCTGAGCCTCTCGACGGCTGGTTTGCATCTGGCGAGAAGTATGGAGTCTACGAAGAACCTCTGCGGCTGCCTCTTCTTCCACGTTGACAGCCCTGCTCACCAAGCTCGAGGTATGCGAGTTACGTTCAAGTTCTTCTCTGCTGCGACGCTAGAGAGCTCGCACAGGTGTTTCGCAGGGATGGATTAACCTTCCAGGGGATCGACACATCAAACTTGGCAGATGCGATATACGTTGGGATTGAGAGGATTCTCACGGACTGGGGGCCGCTGCTGGGTGTGAGCTTACAATCTCGCTCATGAACTGGGCGAAAGACCGTTCTTTCAGTGAAGCTGCTGTAAACAATAGTACTAAATAAGTCGGAGATGGCGATTCAACGCTGAGCCGGGGATCCACTCGATGAACCTTTCGCTAAGTGTGTCGTTTACCACACAAACAAGGCAGTCAATCTCGTCGTCACTGGCGGCAATGCTAGGAACGGAGCTCTCTAGATCCGAGAGCCTCCCTGGCGCAACTTTGTGCTCTTTCCGAGCCGTCGCACTGCAACGATCGCGTTTCGTGCCTCCAGATACTCCTGGAACTCCTCACTGTTGTCGGGGAAGAGTTCTACCACCGCAGAGTTTATGCATAGCATCCACTTGTCCATGAATCACGAACCTTTACGCTCGAGGAGAGGAGTTGTCTCTGCACAAATCGTCACGTCTGTTTTTAGTGTTTGTCTATGCTTTGCGTCGTCTATGCTTTGCATTGTCGTTTCCATTTTTAGGCTGTATATATTGGAAGGGAAGATTAATGAGAGTGTGAGTGATTGGTGTTTGATAATCCATGGCTAGTTCAAGCCTTGCTGTGCTCTGCATTTCTCTTGTGGTCTTGTCTGCAGGATTAGTAGCTTTGGCAGAAGGTAAATTAATAGAAATTTATCAGTGGTAATCAAAACTTATTTCTATTCAGATTTTAAAGAGGATGAATATGATATTAAGCATTATGTCAAAAGTGGTGTTGCCAGAGATGAATATAAGACTTCAGTCGCATCACAGCATCATATATATGAAGATGATAATATAGGGTAACAGTTCTTTCTATGTTTTTTTTTCTTTTGGCAATAACAAATGTATGCAGGTCAATGTCTGGTGAAGAGGAGGAAAGTGTTAAAGGTTCTGGTATCTATAACTTTTGCAAGTTTTTCTGTAGAAGGGGCTTATTCCCATGGAAACTTTGCAAGTCATGCCCTGCTTCTGCTCCAGCTCCCGCTCCATCTTCTAACCATCACTAAGAAAAATTTACTCTTTATAATAAAAAATAGAATAATTGTTACATTATTCCTTATATTCAATTGCACAAATTGTTTCATATAATGCATTGTTATGTTTAACTATGATATCTGAGCTCTACTAATCCAGCACAAGAGAAATTCATGGTAGGATTGCATTAATTTATCAGCACAAATGACTTATGCTCATTAAACTTCTTTTTTAGCAATAATTAAACAAATAGTTAATCAAAACTACAGCTTAGCATATGATATTTTACACATTCCAAGTTTCTACTTGCGGTGAAGGAGGGCAATGCTCCATTAATGGATTAGGAAATGAAATTCATACCAAAACAAGCTCAAGGTGAGGAGTATGATATTACAATAGCACCCCCAATTTCTTTCAGCGAAAAACTAAGTATCTAGTAAACTCTCAAAAGGCAAAGAGGCATCAAATTGTGGTCAAACAAAGCCCACACACTCACAAAGGTAATCACTCTAGTTAAACTCAAAATTTCTCATGACTCTATGGATTAGAAAGTTGAGAGATTATTTAATAGCATTATTTACTAAATAAAAAACTAGTGGATACATACTTTTGTAGCCTGGAATTTACCATATTTGCAAATTCCTACTACCACTCACCATAGTGAAATCTTTGAGCGAGGGAATCCTTGGCCATGCCTTGCAGTGCTCCTAGATCGTTCAAAGATCCATGGAAATCTAGTATAAGCAGTGCAAGTAAAGGATCCAGCAACCTATGGCACAAGCAATGGTGGTGCAAAGCAATGTTTGTTGATTGTGTACAGCCATTTGTGGCCAACTAAACCCTAAACCCAAGGTGAAAGAATGCATGATCTCCAGAGCTACGCTACCAAAAACGTGGAGTGGGCTGCTCCCGCAATCGATCGATCCGAGCGTCTTGGCCAGGCTAGGCCACAAAGATCTCGACGTCGACAACGATGTCTATGCCACGCTCCTCCGCGAATGCGAGAGATCCAAATCGCTCTCGCAGGGGCGATACATCCACGCTCACATCCTCGCCAGTGGCAAGAGCGGCAAGACGTTCCTGGGAAATCTCCTGGTCCGGATGTACGGCAAATGTGGCTCCATCGCCGATGCCAAAGAGGCCTTCGATCAGATCCATCGCAAGAACGTCTTCTCCTGGACGATCATGCTCGGGGCGTTTGCCGATTGTGGGCATCACAGGCAGGCGATCCAGATCTATCACGCCATGGTTCTCGAGGGCGTGAGGCCGGATTGCGTCGCCTTCGCATCCATCGCTGGGATTTGCTCGGAGCTGCAGTGTTTCCAAGCGGGCAAGGCGATCCACGACTGCGTGCTCGAGCAAGGCGCCGAATCCGACGTGATCGTCGCCAACAATCTCGTCACCATGTACAGCAAATGCGGTCGAATCGACGGGGCTAGATGCGTGTTTCGCCGGATCAAGAACAAGAATCCAATCTCTTGGAACGCAATGATTGCAGCATTTGCCCAGTGTGGGGATTTTGCGAGCGCGCTGGAGCTCTACGTCGAGCATCCCGTGCCTGACAAGATCACGCTCATTCTGGCAGCGAAAGCGTGCGCTAGCTTGGGGGATCTCGATCGAGGACGGGAAATCCATGCCAGAGCCGTGGAGCTGGGATTGGAATCGGACCTCCTGGTGGCCAACAGTCTGATCGGGATGTATGGCAAGTGCTACTGCGTGGGCGATGCCAAGCGCTTGTTCGATGGATTGGAGGCTAAGAACAGGGACGTGATCTCATGGAACTCGATCATCGCGGCTTATATCTTGGCCGGGATGAGCTCGCAGGCTCTGGAGCTCTTCCGGGAGAGAATGGATGTGGAGCCGAATAGGATCACTTTCATCGCGCTGATCGATGCCTGCTCGACCCTGTGCGATCTCGAGCAGGGAAGATGGATCCACGAGAGGATTCGCAGCTCGGAATTTGCGAGAGAGGTGGCAGTGGAGAACGGTCTACTGCTCATGTACGCCAAGTGTGGGAGCATCGAGGAAGCGATGGCCATCTTCGAGAGCATGGAAGGGAGACGAACGGTCTCTTCCTGGAATTCGATGATCGCGGCTTGGGCGAGTCAAGGAGATCGAGATGGCAGTAGCAGTGACGAGGTTTTACGGATCTACAACAGGATGAGCTTGGAAGGATTGAAGGCTGACAAGATCACTTTCGTGAGCTTGGTGACGATTTGCAAGGATATCTTGCACGGAAGGAGGATTTTCGAGCAGATCATCGCTGCTGGGATCGTTCTAGAGACGGAGATGGAGCTCGCAACGAGCTTGGTGATCATGTACTGCAAATTCGGCTGTGTGGCCGACGCGATGGCAGTTTTCTCTGGGATGAGATCAAGAGATGTGGTGGCCTGGACAGCGATGATCACGGCTTTCTCGCAGCAAGAACACACGAGCATGGAGGCCGTGGATTACTTTTGCCAGATGGATTTGGATGGATCGAAGCCCGACGAGGTGACTTTCGCCAGCGTTCTTGGATCGATTGCTCGATTGGGTCTTCTCTCCAGAGGAAGATCCGTCCACTGCGATGTTCTAGCCTGCGGATTTCAATCCGATGTCGTGGTGGGCACTGCGCTGCTCGACATGTACAGCAAATGCGGGAGCTTGATCGATGCCAAGCGCGCGTTTGACGACCTGGGAGGCTCCAGGAATCTCGTCTCCTGGAACGCGATGATCGCTGCCATGGCCAAGCATGGCGATTGGAGCTCCGGCTTCGAGCTCTACCGCGCCATGATCCTCGAGGGAGTGAGACCCAACGATGTCACATTCACCAACATGCTCTTCCTGTGCAGTCACGGCGGTGGTGGCGATCGAGAATGCGGCATCTGGGACGCTTGCGCATCGATCGTGCTCGAATTCGGCGTCAAGATCACGCCCGATCACCACTGCTCGATCGTGGATGTTCTTGGGCGATCCGGGCGGCTCGAGGAGGCAGAGGAATTCGTGGACAAGGGGATGGGATTCGAGCCGGGGATCGTCGAGTACCGTACGCTCCTGGGGAGCTGTACGGTTGCTTGCGACATGGAGAGAGGCGCGCGCGTGGCGCAGCGCGTCATGGAAATCGAACCTCAAACTTCCATGGCATATTCACTGCTGGCCAAGATTTTGAGGAGGTTTTGTAGCTAGGGTTTATGGCTACGTCGCCAGATTTTCCATCGTCTCTGTATATGCAGCTACGATGAGCGTACGATTGTTCCGCTCCATTACAAGCAGCATTGGATTGCTCTTCCAGGAAGGAGCAAGAAAACAACGAGGAGGCTGGCGGCTGTGGGGAATTCCAACAAAGTAAGTATGAGAGAGCTCGCGTTCTTGGGACACGCGCTTTGCAAATCAGGTGAGTGAGAACCTTCTCTCGCGTTTGGTCTGGTTTGATCCTGATGTCACCCTGTTCTACAGCAACCACCATAAACATACCCTCGTCTTGTCGCAAGAGACTCTACCGTTTGGAGTGGATTATTAAAGACTTATTAAGCGGATCTGTCTCTCCATAGCGTTCATACTGGAGCATATTCGGTATTGCCGATCTTTCGTTCACGCAGCTCCTTCATAGCAATCTGCAGAGAACATTCAAGAGCTCCATCACTCCACACAAATTCCTTTTCAGAGTTTCTATACCTCGAGTGGATCTCGAGTGAAGTTTTGGCTTTCTTAGCGAAGAATCGTGCAGAATCTGGCAAGGTATAATCTGAAAAGTATAAGCTAAAATGCATTTCTTTTGTCTTCTTTCATTCTCCATGGTATGTGGGACTTCTCTCAGCATATCCCGAGCTGCATATCCAGTGATTCAAAGCAAAGTCTCACCCTTATACCCCTCTTTGATGATGGGCGGGCAATTAGCACACCATTATTCTTCCATGTCTTGTCTTTCTCTAGTCGGCCACCCAGAATATAAAATGCGACCACCACCTCCATTGCAAACTCCAGAGGGAAGGCTCCAAACTTTTGAGTGAGCAAAGGGCTCTCACCTCGAGAACTCGGACAAGCTCTCTCGAATCCAAGCTTGGCTCCTTTCGTTATTCTTCTCCTCTTCGTCCCCTTTCAAGAGTAAGCTTGGTTTGTTTGGTCTTTGCTCTCGTGGTTCTGAGCTTGTGATTCTTTCAGTTTTCTTGCGCCAGAAATCGGGACTCCGACGAAACAAAACGTTCCACTTCCAGAAAGAGTACGTGCCTCACTTCCTTCCATGCTCAAGTGATTCTTTCATTTCCCTTTCGCTCGCATAAGTTACTCGTGTTGACAGTGTATAACTGTGTAACTTATGACAGCCTCTTTTCATGTAGATTTCCTGACAATCCCTGTCTCCTTTTTGTTGCTCCAGAGGCCAATGGACATGGATTGCTTGCTTCTTCTCTCCTCTTGCACTCCGCCGCGTCAGTTTCACTCGGGAAAACGTATGTAATTGTTCGTTGGCCGCGGCGAGAAATGAAGGCTTTCCCGCTTTTCTCCAGAGATGATCTTAAGACGCTGTTTTCTTGTGAGAACCGGTACTGGTGCTCCTCCCCAGCACCATGCAATTTTTTATGATTCCACGCCACCATTTGTCTCGTCATATGCTCACTGCCGCTGTTCTTCTTCACCTGCTTCCAGAGCACGGGCGACACAAAACTTTGAAGGGGCATTGTCAACTTGACACCATTTCCACCAGGTATTTCATCTCTTGGTTGATCGTTTTCTTGACGATGCTCGCCTCAAGTAACCAAGCTTTCAGGCATGGTGAACCTCCAGAAGCAGCTTGAGAATCAGCTCGTCCCAGAGTGGCGGGTGAATTACTGCGACTACAAGCAGCTCAAGAAAGTTGAGATTCTACAGGTCGATCCAAAGGTCTTCTCGGTTGACAAGAGCAAGCTCCAAAACTTGCTGCAAAATCCCAGCGCCATCCTGAGCAGCTGCTGCGAAGGAAACTTCCATGCTTTTCGGGGTCCAAAACGCGTGATTGTGGGAAGTGAGACCACTTACTTCAGACAATGAAAAACAAAGCTCATGCATGGACATTTCCTGTGGTGCCACACAACATATGTTTGACTGAGATGATACAAAGAAATTTTATACCATTTTGAGCTCTTGTTTAACGAGATCCTTGGGAGAAGCTTTTGGAAGTTCTTAAGTAGTGTCCTATCTGATAGAATAGTGTAAAATTATCAAATTTTACTTACAAAGTTTTGATCGTTCTTTTCAATATTCAAGATCCCAATATCCTCTACATTAATCTAGTGTCAACTTAAATTAAACTGCCATTGCTTGGGACCACAATAGCTTATGCCATAGGTTGTGGGATCCATTGCTTGCACTAGAGCAATTCGTTACATTGGATTTCCTTTGGATCTTTGAACAATCGAGGAGCATCGTCTTCTCCAGGATTTCAATATGGTGGCATTAAGAATATTCACTATATTTGCAAATATAACAAATTCCTTTTTTGTATGTAAACTTTTAAGTACAAAAAAACCAAATATCAATTTTTGCAAGAGTATATGTAAGGAATTAGAAGACTCAATAAATAACAATATGTATTTCTTGCTTGTCAAATCCTTCTCCACTGAGCATTAGAAAGCTGCTTACTCACTAATAATTTTATTAAATAATATTAAATTTATTTCTTTGCATTTAAGTTGATTGTTGTATTTATTTTGAAAATTGATTTATGGAACCATTCATCAACATCAACATGACCATAACATGTAAGTTGCCAAGCTGTAATATTGCAATATATTTATAGCTTGATCAAACTATCTTGATTGGGAATAAACAACCTCTTTTTTTGGTTGACAATAAATATGTAAAATATTGTTATCATGAAAAGTTACTGTGGAGTTGGAACATGGCATTACTTGGAAATCAACCCCTTTGCATAATTAATTTTGTAAAAGTAGCTATTAATAAGGCTCCATAGTGTTTATATTTCTTGCTTAAGCATGATATCTAAGCTCTACTAATCAAGCACAAGAGAAATGCATAGTAGGATTTTTTTGGCACTTAATTTTTGAATATTGCTAAAAGATAAGTTTAATGAGCATAAGTCATTTTGTGCTGATGGCTAAAAAATAGTAATCAAAAGTTTTACATAACTTCTATGTGCTCATCATATTTACACATGTAGCCATCCCTTGCACTGAAAGAAGTTGTTCACTATTAATACAATATAAATTAATGGATCAAGAAATGAAATTCAGACCAAAAGGTCATGAATAGGTATGAGTATGACATATACAATAGTACCTAATTCCTTTCAGCAAAAAAATAGCATCTAGTAAACTCTAAGAAGGCATAGTAATAAAAACTATGAAGCTATGGTTGAACCACTCTTGAAGCTTCATTCTATCATTCTCTCCCCTATTCCATGACGGTAAGTTAATCTTTCTCCTGCAAGCCTTGGCCTCATCCAATTGCTAGTCACGCACTCAAGAAGGTAATTTGCTCTAGTTTGACTAACTTTTTTAGTGTCTTCCAAAGAAAGATTTGTAAGTCATGCCTTGGTAATGGAAGAAGAGCCACGGGTGGAGGAAAGGCCACACTCCTCACTCTGCATAGTGAGTTACAAAGAGCTTCTAAGAGGCAGATTAGTTTGAAGGATATGGCAATTGGTCAAGGTGCTGAACCATATTCCATGGTTGTGGATCTGCGTAAAGTCAAAGCAGATATTTCAATTCCACAACTGTCAGCAATGTATCCCAAGCTTCGGGTGGAGGTTCAGGCAGGGGTAAACACATGACTAACACCAAGGAAGTTAGCGGTTAGTGTAGTTGATGTGGCATCGGATGTAGATGAGCAAGCTCCTGTGGTAGATGTCATAGTGCATGGTTATTGGCTGACTGGTTGTTTAGTGGATAGTGGTACTGCTATTAACATGATGGGCCATGAGGTGGCACAGTGGTTGTCTTTGACTTTAGAAAAATGCCATAGAATGATTCGGTTAACTGATGACAAGTGCGAGGTCTGTTTCGTATTCTTAAACCGAATCTGGTACGATTACATGAGAAAGTCCTTGAATTAATGGCAAAATTTGAGCTTTTTCAGATCCAGCATGTTGAGCGGGGAGATTTGGAGGCAGTGAAAACTTTGTCAAAGAAGGGACTTCAACAGGGGAACTAAGTAACAAAGGTGGTGATACTGGAGCTGGTTAAGGAAGAGGGTTTCAGTAGGGTGGAACACATTAGTTTGGATGAGGAACTTGCAGGAGGAGTGGTGACATTTCTGACCACAAGCGATGTTCCAGAAAGGGAAACTGTTGTGGAGCTAAAGCAGCATTTAGCAAAGTTGGCTAGGAACTACACATTTCTAGATGGACTCTTGTTCTTCCGGTGGAAAGATGGTGTCCTGAAAAGAGTAGTGGAAGACGAGGATCGAACACGACTACTGTAGTTGTTTCACAATGGCATTTGTGGATGACACTTTGCAACAGCAGGCACAGCTTGGAAAATTCTCACTACGGGTTATTGTTGGCCAGGACGTTGGAGGGATGCAAAGGCATGGGCTTTGAGTTGCCAGCACATAGAATCAAATTCTTCAACAAGGGAAGGTGATTGGACATGGATGCTTAGCCCAGCTCTTTTTGCATTCCGCACATATTCAAATTGACAAAAGGTTTCACTCTTTATCAATTGGTTTATGGAGTTGAGCCAATCATGCCACCGGAATTAGAGATGCCAACTTTTTGAAAGAGTACCTTCCAGCAGACTAATCCATTTTAAGATGTTGAAGCTCGTATCGTGCAGCTTTTGGAGATGTACGAGGACTGCTTGGAAGCTTTGGAGAGGATTGAGACTGTTCAGGGAGTCTTGTTGGAGAAGCTTCCATAGGATGCCAGAATATTTTTTAAGAATATTCTGAAGAATGAGTTTGTATATGCTAGTTCCATGACACCATGCTGCTTGCGTAATTCCCAAACACATGTTGTAATGTTTTCCATCAGAAAACACTCTTGTGGGCTTTGAAGTCATTGAAGGTGAAGGTTTTTAGTAAGATTTGTTACGCATTGATTTGGATGCGAGAAGGTTTTGGATGAAGTGTTATTCTGAAGCTGACTGTAGTGGTCAATAAGTCTCATGCTGGGGATAAGATGATGTTGCTCAAGTTGGTGACAAAAAAGGTGTAAAAATGTGATCAAAGTCGGTGTTCATGTAAGCAAATGTCTATTATTTGTTCATTTGTAGTTGATACTCTTCCCAGCAGAGGAGTGACCGTCGTGGAACAAGGATTAGTGATCCATACACAAGAATACATAGGAAGCCAAGACAAAACAAGCCTTTACACTTGCCGATTGCTAGTTGAGCTCGGCTGGATTGAAAACATCTACTTAGACAGAGAATTCACAATCTTGGCTCAGAAAGCTTGGTGGTACTTTTATGACCCGGTGATATACGTATACGGGCATTTACCACCTTCATACTTGTGCTTTTTCTGGGTTTTCTTCAGCAAAGAGCGAAATCCGACGTTTGTTGCCGCCCGAGGAGGCTCAGAGCAAAGACTGCTACCACACAGCATTAACACAAGAGTATGGGCCTCAGCCCGTTGGATTGACTCCAAAACTCATAGAATTACAGGAACAAACCTGAGGTGGAACCGAGGATTGAATGCATGGAAGGACCCTCGGGAACCACTTCCGAAGCGCACGAGATGCGCAATTGAATATCAAGATATCGGCAGCCCTCTCTGACTTTTGATTACTCAGGAGGTCATTAGCTCTCCTT